CAAACACGTTGCTTTGTATGATGAGAACCGTGGACGCAACTTTGAATATCGCAAGGCGTCTTGTGTTTTTTCCACTGCAGATGTGGCTTTGATGAATGTGATTTTGAATGCCTATGATCATACATTGTCCATAAGCGCGGAGGAGTTGGTATTCAAGCAACGAGTGCGGAGATGGTTCGAGAAAGCCGCTCATCCACAGCTCATCTCACCCACCTCGTCCCAGGAGTCAAAACTCCGTACGCAACCTACCTACCAGTTGGCACCTTTGTCTGTCCGTTGGAATGCCGTTCTCAAAATTGGTGAGGAAATAGAGATGATCGGTCCGGGGAAGCACGGGATTCCAATGAACTGTTGGCATAGTCAGAAGGAGAATGGTCCGAAGGATGAGAGACTGGCGGATAAGTTGAGGTTTTTCAACAAAACCACCGGGGTGTTCCGTCTGGTGAAAGAGAAGGCTGACTATGAGGACTCCGGAATATATGCCTGTTCCGCCAAACACGATGGCGGATTCGAACCACGTGAATTATATGTGATGCCAGACGAAAGCATGGTGTACATGCAGCTGAATCACAAACCACTAGAAAAAGATCAAGAATTCCGCCCTGATTATAATCAATGTGCGTTGGGTAGGGTTCCTGTGATATATTCCAATCAGAATGCGAGTGTACGCTGTGTGTACGCGGTTTCGCCGTTCTGGAAAATGGAACCAGTCGTTTCATTGACTTACCATGTATTCGACTCGTCTTCGTGGCAAAATCGCACGTACCCGTCATTTCTGGAGACCGACTACTTGAGATTCCAGGATGGCCGACTACAGAGGGTACGTGCGTTCACAATAATTGCTCCAGAGGCGCATCTGAGTGTGGGGGCGGTGTTCATCACTTGCAACTTTGACTACACTAAAATGAGTCGAATGACACGAGACATTCGAGGGAGAAGCGAACCACTGTCTCTGAGGCGAACAAAACGCCTCATTTACAAAACGTTTATTGCTCCCACAATATTCGACGAACATTTGGAGGCAAGCAAACCACATCTGTTTGACAACTTTTATCACCAGGGGCAACCCCGGTGGATGGCTTCGGATTTTCACAGAACCGGATCAAGAAAGCGTTTGAACGAAGACCACTTCACAATCTCCATGAGACTTCACATGGGCATCCCGGTTGGTAAGACCGAAATATGGATGTTCTACAAGCAGGGCCAGTATAAACCCCAGCATTGTGTTCTACAACAGCTAGTGATGTTGAGTGCGGCAGACTTGTCAAATGAGATCAAAATCCACAATTCTTTCATTATAGGCAAAGGACAGGGGTTCGCTAAGTTGACGTATTCGTGTAGCGTTCGGCCAGAGCATGCAGCGCTTGTGATAGCCAGTTATTCCGTCATCGATGAGAATGAGACAGTGGTATCAGAATCTCTGAAGTCAGAGTTCCATACCAATATCCAATTCTGGCTCCAGAATCCGAAAGACCAAATCGGAAGGAGCATTAGTTCTTCCAATAATGTTCGCCTGGCCTACAGGGTTCAAAAGTTACAGATCGGTTGGAAGGGTTCGGTAAATCAAGGGGATTCGTGGCGGATATTGATGGCTCACGAAAAGTTCACACAAGTTGGACCAATCCTAACGCCCATGCATTTTGTTTGCGAACACACACCGATTGGAAGCAACAAATCCAAGGAGATTTTTCGCGAATTCACCGCTAAACTACTCTACTTTATTCCGAC